CAATGTGCCCTTGTGGCCAAGAAGGCCAATGGCATCCTGGGGTGCTTTAGAAAGGGTGTGGTTAGTTGGTCAAGAGAGGTTCTCCTCCCCCTCTATTCTGCCTTGGTGAGGCCGCATCTGGAGTATTGTGTCCAGTTCTGGGCCCCTCAGTTCAAGAAGGACAAGGAACTGCTTGAAAGAGTCCAGTGCAGAGCCACAAAGATGAAGGGAGTGGAACATCTCCCTGATGAGGAAAGGCTGAGGGAGCTGGGTCTCTTTAGCTTGGAGAAAAGGAAACTGAGGGGTGATCTCAATGTTTGTTAAGTGTGAGTGTCAGGAGGATGGAGCCATGCTCTTCTCAGTGGTGTCCAGTGGTAGGACAAGGGGCAGTGGGTGCAAACTGGAATATAGGAGGTTCCACATAAATGTGAGAAAAACACTTTTCTACTGCAAGGGTGACAGAGCACTGGAACAGGCTGCCCAGAGTTTGTGGAGTCTCCTTTGCTAGATGAAAAAGGGTTCAATCACAAAATCTTAAGTCACAACATCACTGATGTAATACCACCAATAATATTTTCATACATCCACAGCTTCTTGTATGCGTTCCTCTACTGCTGCAAATGTGAAAAACCGAGGATCCATGAAAGGAAGGGCTGGAGGAAGTGCTAGGCCAAACTCATCAAGTGCACTGAAAAACATGAGTTAGGAAACAATTTAATTTCAGAGTAAACAGTAATACCTTGATGGCTGGATACATCAAATTACTGCACGTCACCTTGTGAAAGGAGTTAATATTGGTTTTGCAGAAGCTATAGCTGTCTTCTGATAGGTATAACTGTAGAGGAAATGACTTCTTAGAAATTAAATATAATCTAAGGCTTTTGAATTTCAAGCACTTGAATGAGAGAAAACCCGTTCATACCAGAGCAGTCATTAGAAAGTTGGTCAAATACTCAAATAAAAAAAAAGGTTGTACAATTCTGCCATAAAAGGGGAGAAACAAATCAAATTAAGTCAGCCATATAGGTGGAGCATGATACCAGGTAAACAGGGGCATGACATTAAGTGGCAACTTTAGGGATACCAGACAGGCTGTAAACCTTGAAGTACCTAGTCGATAGGGAAACAAGGGAGAGGTAACTCAGTTGGCATTAGGGAATAAAAAGGTGTGCTAAGTGCACAGCCAGTGTCCCTGTTCCGTGGGGGGACAGCTGCTCTTGCAAGAACATAAATAAGATGTGCTTCACTAAGGAATCTGTCTGAGCCTATGTTATGGGAAGCATTATCATTTCTCACAACTTGTTAACAACTCTGTGTGCTCTCAGGAGGTGCTTGTGTTAGGCTGACCTTGGCTGGCTGCAAGATACCCACCCAGCTGCTCTCTCACTCCCTCACTTCAACTGGGCAGGGGCATAGATAGGGACATCACTCACCAGTCACCATTACAGGCAAAACAGTCAAAGTTCAGGGGGAACCTTAATTTAACAGAAGGGTTGAACCAGGTGATCTTTTGAGGTTCTTCCCATCAGGGCTGCTCTACAATTCTGTGAATTTATTGCTAGTAAAAATGGATTTGGAAGGTTGAGAAACAAAAGCAAAAGCTGCAACATCTTCCCCTTAGCCCTCCCTGTCCTTTCAGGCTCAGCTTTACTCCTTCATTCCTGACTCCTCTATGTCCCCCTGTCCCAAGCAATGTGGAGGGAATGAGGCACATGGGCAGTGGTCGGATCACTGCAGCTCCTCTCTGCCACTCCCTCCTCTTCACACTGTCTCCTGGCTCCAGCGGGGGGTCCCTCCCATGGGTTGCAGCCCTTCAGGATAAACCTGCTCCTGTGTTCTTCTCTCCAATAAGCTTCGGTACTTCACTGTTTAGGTGTGGATTCTCCACAAACACAGTTCTGTCAGCAAATACTTACCTACTTCACTGTGGGAAACATCTCCTTCAAAACATGGAGCATATCCTCCCCCTTCTTCTCTGACCTTAGTGTCTGCAGGAGCGTTTCTCATATCATCCTCATTCCTCACTCGTACACTGTGCAGCATTTTTTACTCTTAAATACACTACAGGCACTGTTTGCAGCGGGTGCACTGCAGCCAGCTGTGCCCCACAAAGGGCAGCCCTGTCAGCTCCTCCAGGAAGCTGCCCTGCAGCTCCACCACTGCCAGTGGCTGCACTCAGTACAGGAGGTACACTCATGAGAATACAGACTTCAGAAGAACTTGATTGCAGCATTTACTGTTGACTACTCCATACTACTCCATGTATGCTATTAAGCTCATTTTACTACTAGAATTCAGGTTTTTATTACATCATGTGTCAGAGTTCACAGCTTGGCCACTGCTGCAAGTTTTATTTTCAACATTCAGAGATCAAATCTTTAAATGAGCATAAGGAAAATTATGCCTAGATCAGTGTATGCCCATACAAAACTAAGACTATTAGAGAAGCATCTCCCTTCATATTTTGAGTTATTAGGACGCTTAATGAGGGTAACATTCAACACTTAAAAACAGCTTTTGTCCATATCCTGCAATGCCTTTGCTAGCTTGCTGCCTGGCACAGCAAAAACATGTGCCTTAGCTCTAGCTTCCACTCCCATGCATTGGTCCCTGTTGTATTTAAAGCAAATGTGCTCTACTATTCCAGAATTAGGCTGTTTGACTGGCTCTGATCACATTCTTCCTAGTGGTTGCAGAATTTTTGTACTATATTGCAATATTCTCCAGTAATCTTATGACAAAGTCGAGTGAAGCATTTAAGGTCATGGAAACACTAGGTAAGAACATGGCATTTCAAAGAGCAAGACAATAGGCTTTTAACATCTAAACTACACACCTACTGCAAAAGAGGAAGAGATCAATTATAAAATTGCACTGACTTAAATGCTGATTACATTTATATTGCTTTATTTTTATATTTCCACTATACTTACCACCTTGAAAATTAACTGAAAAGTATACCCCTCTGTGACATTCAGGTTGTCTAGTGCTTGTTTTGAACAATCCAAGAGATGGGCAGTGTATTTGGACACTGAGGATGCCTGCTGTTTGTTTTGAGACATGACATCTAACAGTTAAACAGGATTTGTTATGGGACTGAAGAGATGTCTCAGGACCTCACCAAACTTCTACTCCCCCAGCTCTGCCCCTGCACAGCTGCAAACTGGGGAGTTTGGTGTGGGACATGCTGAGCTGGGAAAGCTGGATATCCAGTGATAACCAGACCTTGAGATTTTATGGAAACCACTGACTTGGCTGGAAAAGTCCAGAGCACCAGTGTCAAGCTGACCCCTCCACCTATTAAACTAATCCTGAGGTGCCAAGTTGTCTCAGCATCATGTTTCATATGGAAATTAGTCAAGGACTGTGTTGCTAGCCCAATCAAAGGCTTATCTTGTTAGTTAGCCTGACAAATACCACCTGCAAGATATATCCCAGCACTATACTCCCCCTCAGTTCCCAAGGAACATGCAGCCTCCCCTATACAAGCCAAGATGGGGAGAGTGGACAAGAACTGCATACAAGTCTGGGATGCCAGGGGTGCAGCGAAGCGCTTCCCCACCGACGACGTTGCTGGACCTTGGTGGCAACTGTCCTTGCTGTTCTCTGTATTTCTGCTTTTCTTCTTTTCCTTTCTACTCTGTCTGTTTTCCTCCCTGTCCTGTTTGCTCTAGGGACTTTGTTGTGTAACTCCAGTAAAGTTCAGTGTGCATGTGACATCTGACCTCGTTTGTGTCTTAATTTCACCATGTGGGATCACCTCTAAACCTTTTCACAGGTCCTGCAGGACAGCAAAGGGTGCAGCTGCTGTGCAGCTCATCCCAGGGGAGGGAAGGCAGAATCCAGCCACAACAGCCTCCCACTGCACTGAGGGGTGTTAGAAAGCAAAGGGGTTCTGCCCGATCTCTCTTAAGACCACACATTAGCCCCAGGGCCTACTTGTGCACCCAGCACTGTATTATCCTTGTTTTGTCCTGGCGAGATAGTAAAAATTGTGTCTCAATATTGGATCGTGACACCCTCCTTGAATATTTAATCCACCAGAATATTTTCCCAGGTCACAGCCTTATTTGGCAAGTGTGCATCACTTTTCTCTTGCGAGATGAAACAATAGCACTTGAAGCACCCTACACCGTAATAGTCAGATTACCTTTGAAGCAAGTGCATACTGATAGCCCTAAGTATTTTTTTACATCTTAAACAATAAACTAAACAGTAACTATAAACTGCCTGAAATTATTGCAGAAAATTATCCCAGGCATACCTCATGTCCAGATCCAGGTCTTCAGTCACCCTGGAGTCACCCTCACAGTTGTTGTTTCCATCCAACATGAAGAATCCAGGACGCACCGGACCATTTTCCTCTTCACGGCTACTTCCTACTTGTTCCCGATGCTGCAACGATGGACACTCTCCTTTCTCCAGTGATGTCTGTTTGCTTTGAAAAAGAAATACAAAGTTAAAAGTCTAGGAGAATTAACAACCACACACAAGCAACAAAAGCTAAACATTAAAAGGGCTGCAACTGCATGTTTCGCAGCTTGCAAAGTCCCAAACTAACAATTTAGTATTTGCTGTACAAAAAAATACTCCCAGTAGCATCAGCTCTAGGCTCAGAATCTAGTAACATGCATGATTCTGCAGCCAAATTATTTGTCTAACACTCAGATCAGCAGCACACTAGGTAGCATGCTGTTCATTTGCTCTACATTCAGGCAGAATCACTGCCAGAGCTCATAAATTTGCTACTAAAGATTTTCTTATTAATCTACAACGTCCTAAAGCCACTATAAAGAGAGTGTCTCTTGACAACTATGAACAGCCTTCATGGGCAAAAGTGGACTGAACTCAGAGATATTATTTGCAAGATATGCTGCCTGCATAAGGAGAAAGACTCCTCTCATTCCTGGATTTCCTATAGGAGCACAAGTCATCTGGATGTTTAAAGCCACCAGGCTGCAAGTCCCACTTGCCTTGTTAGAGGGCAAAGAAACATTATTCCCATAATGTTAGAAATAGATACATTTGCAGGCTGTTCCCATCAAAGAAAGCTAAAAAAGTACAGTTCCATTGTTGTTGTTCTGAAAGAGATGAGTTTTTATAATGCCATGCTAATTCTCCAAACCTCAAGAGACAACAGCACAAAGAAAAACAGTAACAAGAGATTTGGACTACTTCCCAATAGACACTGTTTACCTAGAAGTGGAAGAAGCTGAAAGAATACTTAGGCATGTCTTGTTGTTTTATAAAGACCCAAACAAAGACTGCAAATTCAGTATTAGACTCTTAGGAAAAAACTTCCCTGGGCTATTTTAGCTACAAAATTTGCCTTGCAACAAAGGTAGATGCATTTTATAATGTAAAACACTGCATGGCTGGAAAAATAAGAAAGTTCTCAGCAAGCAAGTAGTTCAAGCTTACTTTAATCACTACTAGGGCAGCAGAAATAAAAAGCAGCAGTGGAATATGTGAATCAATAAAGCAAAGACATAAACAACTGCCTTGCAAGAAGTACTAAGCAGTATTGGAAGGTATTTAACATATGTCCTTGCAATTAACTTTAATTTACCATTAGCAAAAAACAGTACTTGCCTACTTTGGCTTTTTAAAGGTGCTACTGTTGTAGCTTGTTGTCCTTTTTGACACTATATGTCAATGCCCTCATTTCTGTAGCTTCCATATAACAGATTTATTTGCACAACATGCCATTTTTTTCCCTGATAGGAAATACATACTACTCAGATTTTGATGTGGGCAAATTACTATTGCTAGTAAATTAACTACTTTTAGAATTGTGTAGTGTCATATGAAGACTGCATTGCTGTGGATGGCTGAACTTACGAGGAAATGAGATAATAAAAATATAACCATACCCTCCTTGGGAAGTGAAGCTTGTGTTCTCCTCTTCTACACCACTGCTGCTGCTGCTCTGCACTTTAGGATCACGTTTCTCTCTGCATGGGAAAGTCTCACAGCAGTCACCACTTGAGGACGACTCTTTTCCTGTAGCAGTAGAACAGCTAGGCACAGACGTAGGCCATTCTCCACCACTGCATTCTGAGCTGCAGTTTCAACAAGGCAATAGGGTGTTAATTTAAACACTGCTTTATGGGAAAGAAAACAAACAAACATTCTGTTATTTCCTGCTTTTCTATGAATAATACTCTCACAGACTATTTTTTTTCTAGCAGAAATCAATTTTGTTCTGTTTATAGCTATAACTTGCTATTCCATGAATTAGAAGTACTTTGGAAAAACTGCACATTGTACACTGCACGTTTTACAAGAATAAAGAAGAATACTGCTCCTGGTGCCTAGGTTGGAGATCTAAATTTGTATTCATTAATAGTTACTTTGAAAGCACCGACTAGTCTAAAGAACTTCCAGTAAAAAAAGGATTATAAACAATTGTATCAAATTATTCTTCAGATGTGGCAAGGAAAAATTGTTTGTTTCAAAAGGCTGTAGACAAGAACATACATAGGCTGCCATGCAAAATACCAAGATTTGAGAGTGAAACAAATCTAAAAATAACAAGTCCTGAAGGGACTTTTCAAAATCCCATAAATTGCAAAAACTAATGCTGAGCAAGGTTTTCCTTCTCTACCCTTTATCTATTTAGTAAAAATAAAAAAAAATAAAAAGCAATCTTCCTTAGTGGTAAGGCACTTTGATCCTAAACAAAGAAAGGCTTTTTACATTACCAGAAGAATATGTATTATTACTGCTTTACGTGGACTAGAGGAAGGCTGAAGAAAAACTGGAAGAGTAAGTTGGCATTTTGTTATCTGATCATGCTCCAAAAATTGAGTTTTTATGTCCCATTTGCTAACAACTTATTCAGATTTACAAATTACTTACATAAAATATTCAAGAGTAATGCAAATACAAAAATTAAATGTTACCTGTCTTCCTCTTTGTGGGATTTTGATAAGCATTTATTGCAGTGTTCAACCTCATCCGAAGAAGTGCTATCTACCACACCTTTTTGTCCTTGAGCAACAGCATTTTTCCTTAGGTCTCTTTCTGGGTTCTTTCGATATCTTCTGCACTTTGACTCAAAGAACATACTAGAACTTTTTTCTTCTTTTCTATTTTGCAAGGCACATGCAGCAGAGCCTTGCTGGACTTCAGCAGTTTCCCTTGTCCTCCTGGAACCCCTTTCCTCTTCATCATTACTAGCAAGAAGACTCTCTCTCTCCAACTGGTTTGCATAATTTTGTTTTCTTATTTTAGGTCTTGCTACTAGCTCAGGCAAACTTCTTTGGTCAGCATTTCCACCACAGACATTCCATTTGTTAGTTGCCATGGAGGTTCTAATTCCAACATCCACTGTTTTTATCTGCTGTGTTTCACAATTGGCACCACTCATGTTACTTTCCTGTATAGCTTGATCTTCAGCAGAAGATGTAAATGTCCTGTTGTTTGAACATGCCAAATCTGAATCTATGCTGAAATAGTTCATTAAAGATGTGGGTTCTGCTGCTTCACAACATTCTCTAGAAACCCTGTGGTTGAGAGTGGACAATGAGAAATGCAAGTCAGTAGAAGACTCTGTCTTTTTCTAACTCAGAAAGCATGCTTTCTAGCCTTCTTGGAAGTACACCTGCTTTTTCTCTTGCCAAAGAAGATCTGTCTTGAGCATCATCTCCCTCTCCATCGTTGCTATCTGGCCTGTGAGAGACGGCATCTGTAGGAGCAACTCCATTGTGACCATTCAAACCATTACGTCCTCCAGATGCACATTCCGAAAGATAAGCAGAATCCTCATAAGGATTCATAAAGTTCCTTGAGACTGTGTTGCCTTTCAGACCTTTACAAACTAGAGAAAATGGTAAAATGCCCACCTCAGAAGTTGGGCGCGATACCTTTTGGCAAGCAGATGTTCCAGGTCTGCTGTTTGCTAACGAGGGTTGATGCAATGAACAAGAGAAAATTTGATACGTAAGACTTGCACCTTCAAAGCAAGCTGTAAGAAAAAATGCATTGGAATAGTCAAACATACATTCTCATCTACAACAACTGTTCATGAAAGAGAAAGGATAGTTCACTAGGACTGCAGTGCAATTTGATAGAGAGAAATATTTGCCAGAGAAGTGTTGATTCTTCACTAATATATCATAAATCATCATTTATTTAAACTAAGCATATAGAAATAGACTTAAATGATACAATCACCGCTCAGCTTGTGATAGCAAAAAACAAGTATTAAAGGAATCTGTTCATATGCAACATTTTTATATTGTTTATATAAAATGGAACTTTATATAAACACAGAAAATCTTAAAAAACCAATAACACTAAAAAAAGCTACAATATTCCTTTCCCAAAGTTAAAACCTGGGCTACCCCTTAATTAAACTGGCTAAATTGTGACTCCTGCCGCACTTGAATTTTATTGCTAACTATAAATTCCATACTAATAGCACTACATTTTGCACTTGGAGCTGTTAGTGCAGCTCCTCATAAAATTAACCAGGATGAATGTGGAATTACAGTTAGTAGTCACAACCATTTCAAATTCAGTTTGCTTATTTTACACTGAAATGTCTCTTGCGTACAGGGACAATAAATATTAAACCAAACATCAAGAGTTAGAGAAGGCAAAAACATGTATACTGCTAATACTACAACATTAATGCTTAGGTCAAGTTATTTATATACTCCTAACCAAGCCTAAGCTATTTGTGAACATACAATGGCCTGTGAAAATTGAGTGCCTGTTTTTAAGTCAATATTAAGAGATTTGGAAATCTAACCATGACCCAAAAAGCAAAGCATGCCTGATTAAATGATTAAACCTCCCCTGCTGCAACTTCAGGCCATTTCCTCTGGTCTTGTCATTATTCACTTGGGAGAAGAAGCTAACACCCACCTCCCTACAGGTACCTGTAGAGGACAACGAGGTTGCCCCTCAGCCCCCTCTTCTTCAAACTAAACATCCCCTCAGCTGCTCCTTGTATGACTTGTTCTCCACGCCCTTCACCAGCTTGGTACCTCTCCTCCTGTAACTCAACATCCTTCTCACAGTGAGAGGCCCAGAACTGCACACAGTACTCGAGGTGTGGCCTCACCAGGGACAAGTACAGGGAACAATCACTTCCCTTCTCCTGCCGGCCGCACCATTCCTGGTGCAGGCCAGGATGTTATTTGCCATCTTGGCCACCTGGGGGCGCTGCTGGCTCCGGTTAAGCCACCCGTCAACCAGCACCCCCAGGTCTTTTCCCCCTGGGCAGCTCCCCAGCCGCTCCTCCCCAGGCCTTTAGATTGCCTGGGGTTGTTGGGACTGAAATGCAGAACCCGACACTTGGGTGTTATTGAACTTCTTACAAGTGACCTCAGCCTACCGATTCAGCCTGTCTAGGTTGCTTCCTACGCTTGAGCAGATCAACATTCCCACTCAGCCTGGTGTCATCTGCAAATGTACTGAGAGTGCACTCAATGTCCTCGTCCAGATCATTGATGAAAATATGGAACAAGACGAGCCCCAAAACTGAGCCCTAAGGGACACCGCTGGTGACCAGCTGCCAACTTGATTTTACTCCGTTTACCACCACTCTCTGGGCCTGACCATCCAGCCAGTTGTTTTATCCAGTGCAGAGTACACTTTTCTATGCCATGATCCACCAGCCTCTCCAGAAGATTGCTGTGGGAGACAGTGTCAAAGGCCTCACCAAATCCCAGACAGACACTCAGCTCTGCAGCAGCCTTATGCAACCACAGCCTCCCCACAGGGCTTTCAGCCCTATCTCTAGGCTCTCCAAACAGGCTTCCAGCTCCAGCAGCTGGAAAGAAGAGGAAAACTGCATTCCCAGGGCTGAAAGGGAATGAAGGTGTTTAGTTACAGTTACATAGAAAGTTTTTTCAGAGGCCAAATTCATACTCTACAAGGAATATTAATTCTGAGCAAAGAGTATTGAGAGCTTCTGGAAGACAGAAGTTAGGTAAGATCATGAAACAGAGATCATCTCCCTGATATTTAGTAGCACTTCAGTGTAGGACACTTGGCAATATCTTATGAAGCATATTATTTGTTCTTAAAACGTAAACTCTTAGTAAGCAACAATTTAGAGGACAAACTCTGAAAGGCTGCTTTAGAAAAAAACCCTATTTCAACAGAAGATATGTGAAGATAGATTTGAAGCAGAATTTTTCTTTCTCACCTTACTGATGGACACAATGTGTCTTAGCTCAATGCCAAATAAATGCTTAAGTTAGACTATATTAACATAACAGACACCCCCTGGAATTGCCTGAATGGTAAAAGCCAAATGTACATAAACAAAACACCACTAGTATCCATGCCTCCCCTCCATATTTTAAAACAAAAGGCCCCTAAAAGCAAGATGCTTTCAAAATACTCGAGTGAACCCACTAAAGGGGCAACACACAGGACACACTTCAAGGAGTCTCTCTTCCCTGCGTAACGCCCGTCCTGTGCCGTCTAACTACAGGCTAAAACACGCTGGCTAACGTGTAAGAAAACGCGTGCTTTAACTGATGCACCTCAACAAACATCCTCTGAGCGCTGAGGCCCAAGACATTCCCCTCTTGACCCCGAATTTGGGGGCGGTGCTGCTCACAGCCAGCTCAGCGTCCCCCTCTCTCTCCTCCAGCGAGGACGTGCGGCAGGTGCTTCGTGACGAAGTTCCAAGAAGGCCAAGCGGCCGGGAGCCCGCGCACTGCCACGCGTGTTCTGCCCGCAGCCCGCCCGGCGGGACCCGCAGCCCCGCGGGG